AGGAGTACAATTCTAACTGTAAAAATGGTTATGTACAGCATTCCTCAAATTAAAGCATAGCTATTAATGTGGGAAAAGAAAAGCCAGTTATTTTTCAACAAGTGTTACGGACAGATCTTTGTAATATTGTAGTTTCTTCTGCTTTTTTTTTATTCATCATATGTTTATACAGCTTCATCATTTTAATACCTAAGAGGATAGTTGCAACCAGGGCCTCCTGTTCCAACAAAGCTGTTGCAACAAAAGGGCAGCTCCATCCCTTCTACAATATAAATTACCTAAGAACAACTTAGAGACAGCTATAAAACAGCGATAGAAACAGAGAATACAAAGAAACTGTGACCCACATTAAAAGGCTTCCCCTGGGGAAAGAAGTCTGTGTTCTGGGCTTCAAGAAATTTCATTCAACATTAAAGATATTTAATTTTACACTCCATTGCTTATTATACACTATGGAAATAAAATAATTTATTTTACTATTTGTTTACAGAGTGAAATAAGCAAAAAGAAAAAAAAAAACAAACTTGGGTGAAATTCTGACCTCACTCACAAAGTTCCTGCTGACTTTTATTTACACTAAGATTTTAGTCCTAATTCTCAACCAGCATGTGCTGTATGAGTGCAGAGAGCAACGCACAGCTGCCTCATAAAGTGTTCTCTCATGCTGAAACTCCCCATGTAGAAGCACTGGCCTGTTCTCTATATTCAGTCCACTAGTTGATTTTCAAGTGTAGTTTTGCAGTGCAGTTTTGCTGGGAGGAGTGCAGAGAGCGCAGTCGGGCAGCTTTCTAGGAAAATAATCTTTGGCTGAGGAAATAAAAATAAATTGGCCAAAGGATGTTCACTTCAAGTTGCCAGTGGAAGTATGGTGAGATGCTTTATCACAGCTCAGTTAGACCCAGTTGAGGAGTGGGGAGAGTTTCCATGCTGGACCAAATCAGTGATCTGGAGAGTTTGGGAGGGAGTGTTTATACTGGGTGGAAGGAAGGTGACCGCTTCCCAATTACTAATGACTTAGCAAATCAAGATTTGCAGTCACCACAGAGATAATGAGCATAGCTTGGCACTGGGCGTTTCCTTAAATCTTGACCTACTGAGTATGCAAATTTTTCTGCTTTTTTTCCTTTTGCAGTTTTATGTTCATGCCAGGCAGCTTTCTCTAACATGTTAAATAGAAACACTGGATTGGCCATCATTTCAAAGTTTATAATTTTGTTAATAACATTGTTTTTTACAGTCTTTGCTAATTAAGTTGGGTTTTTTACTTTCTTATGTCGTGGTTTAAACTCAGTCAGCCACGCAGTCTCTCTCTCCCCCCTTCCTCCCACCCCCCCGTTCCCTGAGGGGTGGGGAGGAAAATCGAAATAATGTAACTCCCATGGGTTGAGATAAGAACAGTTTAGTAACTAAGGTATAACACAAACTACTACTGCTGCCACCAATAATAATAGCGATAAGGGAAATAACAAAGAAAGAGAATAAAATCGCTCACCACCCACCAACCGATATCCAGCCCGACCGAGCAGCAATCTAGCCCTTCCAGGTAACTGCCACCAGTTTATATACTGGGTACGACTTGCTGTGGTATGGAATACCTCTTTGGCTAGTTTGGGTCAGCTGTCCTGTCTCTACTTCCTCCCAGCTTCCCCTACTCCCTGGCAGAGCATGAGGCTCAGAAAGGCCTTGGTCAGACTAAACATTACTGAACAGCAAGTAAAAACACCTGTGTTATCAGTGCTGATCCCAGGCTGAAAGTCAAAAACAGAGCACTGCACCAGCTACTGAGAAGTAGAAAAAATGACTGCTACTGCTGAACCCAGGACATCTTATCATACAGAAACCGTCCTTTTGGCTTTCAGGTTACTTCAGTTTATCTTTTTAGGATATTTTTTTTTTCTATGTTATTTATCTGTACATAGCAATGAAGCCTCATGGTTAAAAAATCCAAATGTCTTTGCCCTTTTCTCTTACATGCCCAAAACAGGGAACTTAACTGAAATATAAATCAATACAAGTACAGACTCAGGATCAGAATTCTTTGAAAAGGGGGAACTCTTACAGTTTTAAGATTTTAAAGATTTTAAGTCATCATGAGATAATTTCTGTGCATCAGCCTGTATTAATTCTTCTGTCTTGATGATTGAGAGCTAGTCTTAGAGGGACTGAGACCACCTTTTCTTCTAGGAAAATAAAATAAGGACGGTGAAGCAGTCAATCTTATTCCATGAAATACAAATGATTTACATGGCAGGAAGGGACTCTTCACAAAGGCTTTTCACCAGCTGCTAATAAAGGAATGGGGGAAATTAAAAGATGCTGCATATGGTCCCCTCACCTTTTTCTTATTCAGTAGTTAAGTTCTTCTTGTTCTCACTTTTTTTCCTTTTTTGTTTGCCAAAAATTTCATATGTCCAGAGAGTGGTCAAAGTGAATAGATAATGGAAAGCGAGCTCACTATGTATCACAGTAATGCTTACCTGCCAAATGCACAACTTTTTAACTGAGTTTGAAACAATCCCCTGAAACTTTAAAAGTGAAATGCTGCAGAAGATTCCTGAGAACCAGAAAATGAAACTAAGGGGAAATGGAAGTGGACTAGCAATGCTTTCACTGTCCAGGGCAGGGGCCATGCCTAGTTTAGAGAGGGCATTAATAGTAAAAACCTAATCTGGTCTTCACATTTCTTTGAAACACATAACATGCAATTTTGCAAGGCAATTTAATATGCAAAAATATGCTGGATGGACATGAGGAGCTTGGGTGCTATTTGTGCAAGTACAGTACACATTAAGATTGTGGGACTGCAGCCAGGTTACTTGGGAGGAAGAACGTAAACCTCATGTTCAGCCTTCTGGCAGGGAGCACTCACGGCAGAAGCATGATTAATCCCAGCAAAGAAGGGTGTTTATGGGGTGTCACAGTCCTGGTGGAGCTGCCCCTTATGGATGCACACCAGGCAGCTGTGTTTGGACTTGTGCTGGATCCTTGTTCTCCTCTGTTCCCCTGGGCCTGGGCAGGCTCTGAACAGTGACTGTGGCCCTGGCCTCTCAGTCACACTTTTATGCTTGCACCTACTGTTGTCCCTTCCTTTAACCTTCTTTTTTGGGTGTACCATGGAGGTTATAAAGGGTTTTTTTTACACTATCCACATGCAGCTAGTTGATTTAACATCAGAGATCTGAAACAGAAGAAATGTCTGTACACTGTTTTCTTCTTCTCAGGACCTGGATCATTTCCTGGGGTTTGGATGGTGCCATATCAGTCCTGGATCCCCTCCCTTGTACCCTAGTACTCCAGCTTACCCTTCTTTTCACAAGTTACACTTATCTGTAACTCCTCTGAGAAACTCCCCATCATTTTTCAGAGCTCAGGTCAGAGTGTTCCCTGGCTTAAGACCAGTCCTTCTTAGCATGCTGCTTCCTGACACTTCTCTGTTTTGTCCTTTTACTGGCAGTTTGTTTTGACTTTATTCTGGGACTCTTTATAAATAGGTGTAAAGTAAATATGCCCTGCTTTAAGCACCATCCATCCTACTTTTCCTAAGGTGGTTCAACTTGAATGAAAGTTTGTTTGCATTAAGTGTTCATATTGCTCTCTGTTGTGATGTTTCAGTTTCAATCTAGGAGGCACCCCACCTGCTCAATATCAGCAGTGTCATAAAATTTACTGAATCTTGTCATTTTCACTTAGAGAAATTTCACAAACTACCAGACAGAGTCAGTACATGAATTACTGTCCTGGTCTGTGCTCTGGGCGCAGTCAGCTCACTCTGCAGGTTGCAAAATTAAAGCTATGGATTCAGTGTTAGAAATCATGATTAGTTCACAGCACAGAAAATATCTGTGGTATGGGCCACCTTATCCTTTGATAAGTTAATTTTTGATTTTGCCTCTTATTTCATACTTGAGAGAGCATACTCTTTATTTCATAGCCACTCAAGATTTATGAGTTTGGGTTTGTGTTTAAAAAGCTGCAGCAGGCTGGGTAAGCACATTCTGTTCCTGCATTTTTACTGGAAGTTCACTAAAACTATCCTGCATCAAAACACTCAATCAGGGTATTAAAACTTTACATCTAGCTCCAGGATCTACAGCCTATTTGGATATCACTTAAACAGTAAGTTGTAGTAGGATTTATGCACACTTGTGATATAACAGATATTCTTTATCTGGATGTCCAATAGTACAGCAGATTCTACTTCTGATCTCTGTTATTGTTGACGGAAGCCCATTTGCTATGTAGAAGGCAGCAGAGTTACACATTAAGAATTTGAGCAGGCAAAGCATATAAAGGAGATAGTATTTAAGTTCACTTGTCATGTTCCCATCATTGGAGAATTTAAGAAGTCAAACTGTCTCTTCTTACAGAGTTTTTTTATTCCAGGCAGGGAGTAATGTCAGCTCCTGTGCAGAATAAAGTGGTGAAACTCATACTGCACCTGGAAACTATACATAGTCTGCGTTTGTGGAATCCCTTTTCTTGACCTTGTGTCCTCAAATATGAAAAGCTGCCACACACCCTCTCTCTGGCTATAGATACTCTTGAGATCCTATTTCAAATGTGTTGGGGTTTTGCGGGGTATGTAATACCTGTGCTGAACTGCTCTTCCTCATGTACCGCTCCTTCACTTTGACTTTCTAACTGAGTCTCAGCCAACATTCCGCTCCTCTCTACACATAGATCTCATCAACACAGAAGGAGAAATGGTAGGAGAATGCCTGCTCAGTAAAGGGCTTTTCCAGAAAAAAAGGGAGAGATCTGAATACTTGGCTTCCTCTGATGTGAGTGGGAATTCTGTCCAGTGTTAGGGCAAATCCTGCTGCATCCTGTACATATTGCCCCACAGTTTTCTGAATTGAAGAGCTGTGTGCCTGGTTATGCACCTGATGTGTTATGATAGTATATTTGTGACTTAAGATACTTGCTTCTTGTGTTCTTGCAGTGTGATCACTATCTGGGTTTTTTTTCATTCTAACGCTAAGGGTATTTTATTTTGTCAGGTTTGGGATGAAACTCTTGCCAAATCTGCAGAGGCTTGGGCTGCTACATGCATTTGGGACCATGGACCTTCCTACTTGCTAAGATTCTTGGGCCAGAACCTATCTGTAAGAACTGGAAGGTAGGCAGATACCCTACAAAACAGTTATTTTGTCAGTCTTTGAACACCTTTTGAGATCCAGATCTTAGACTGATGCAAGTTGTCATCCAGTATTCTAGCAATAATTGATATCTGTGTTCATTTGGCTTAAGAGTATTACTGCTTAATGCTGTGCCTCTAGTGATGCATGGAGAAATGTATATTTAGGTGTCTTGCATCAGAGGAATTAGCAGCAGAAAGTTCCAAAAGACTTAAATCTAAAATTATATGTCTTTCTTTCTGAATTTTAAACAAATGCAGGTATCGATCTATTCTCCAGCTGGTAAAGCCATGGTACGATGAGGTGAAGGATTATGCTTTCCCTTACCCTCAGGACTGCAATCCCAGGTGCCCCATGCGATGTTACGGACCCATGTGCACCCATTACACACAGGTTATATGAATTACATTCTTCTATTCAAAATCTATCGTCCAAAGCTGGACTTTTCTGTCATGTATTTATAGCTCTCTCTCAAATAAATGTGTATGTGTGTATATATATATATTTCCTTTCAATTTGGACTTCACCAATAATAAATATTTATTCAGATGGTTTGGGCCACTTCCAATCGTATAGGCTGCGCAATCCACACATGCCACAATATGAACGTCTGGGGATCTGTTTGGCGACGAGCTGTTTACTTGGTATGCAACTATGCACCAAAGTGAGTTGCTTTCTTTTACATATTGTTTACTATTGTACTTCATGCATGTTTTGGTCCTCTCATAGGATTGCTTACTCCTTTTTCTGCAGCTTGACCTCTTGTGCTTTTTCTGCTGGCTGCTCCTTCATTCTAACTTTACATCTGAGCATACAAAAAATGCATGACTTTGGTATACAAGGAAGAAAAGGAAATAACTTGATGGGTATGGAACAAGCCCAAACCCTTTCTTTTCTGGATTATTATTATCATCATCATCATCATCTTCCTTCTTTATGCTGACTCCACTTCACTTTCAATTCCTTATTTGTTTATTCTGTTAAATATAATCATGGTGACCTAGTCTTCTTCAGGTGAGCAATCCCACTGTAGTTCAGACCCTTGATATACTGTGAACATTTGTTCTTGCCCACAAGATGCTTTTGCTTATGACCATGCTGTGTAAGGGTATCCATAGCATGGGTTTCCTACAAAGTCCATCTAACTAAGCTCAGTGTCTCCAAATCTCATCTTGCCTTCATGTTAGGGTCCTTCAAAGGAAGCCATAGGCAGCCCTGTATCAAGTAGCTGTGCAGACATGTGATAGGTTGAAGTGAAGAAAATAATTTTCCCCCAGCATTTCCTAGACATCATCCCAAACTTACATCTGGGTACATACAAGATCAGTAATGTGGCTCTGAGAAAGGTTCAGTTTGAGTTCTGGTTTGGACCATTGCTTCATAAGCAGCATGGGCAATGTAAATGGCTGTTTTCTCTGACTCTATATTAGGCAGAGCCATAGTTCTGTACAGAAATCTAAGTATAATTAATTGAGCATGTTTTCCATAAACTCACAGTGGCACAGGTCCATTTGTGGTAAAGAGCATGCAAGAATATGTCATTATTCTAGCTGTTACATGAGTAAAAGGATTTTTAAAGATTCTGCAACTTAAAAAAAAAAGATAGGATTTAGTAAGAAAACTGAATTCAGGGAAAATGGCCTGTGGGAATCAAAAAGATTTCTCTGTAATTTTGTCTTTAATATCTAGTAGAAAAGGGTGATAAGAAATGAATATGAGGGAGCAAAGATCAGGCAGCAGAACTATCTGAATTTTAGCTCTACAACATGGACTAGGTGAAATCAAAGTTTATAAGAGAAACCCAAATATTACTTACTATGTATCCTAATTTAAAAAATATAATAAAATTTACAAACTTCCAGAGTACATCTCTCATATGCATACATAGGAAAAGAATGGGTTTATACGTTACACATTATTGAAAACTGCTGCATTGTTTGTGTGTATGTTAACAATCAACTAATGACATGTTATATTTTCTCAGTGTAAAAATCCCATTGTTTCTCAAACAGCAAACAAAAGTCTGGAGTTACAAGCTTCTCTGGATAAGATTTTGAGTAGAACTTTGGTTTATAGGTAGTAGAATTGGGCGTTTCCCATCTCCTTTTGCACAGTTACAAAAAGGATACTGAGCAGTCTTGTCTGGCTTAAGTTCATATTTCCAAGAATTAATTAGATTAAGTAGATTTGGCTTAAAGTCCTTGGGCACACATGAAGAATTTTCTTTTCCAGTCAACAGACTGTGCCTTTCTGAGTAGGGAATTCCTCTAAACAAGAAGAGGGTATTACAGCTCTGACCCACGTTATTGAGGTTGGAATTTGGCAAAGATTTGGGATTTAGAACTCAAATAATTTTTACTGATGCTATGCTGTAATGCTGAAAAAATATCTATGCTTCTGAAATCAGGAAAAAGTTTAAAAGGATAACTATAAAGTTTAAAAGTCCCTGCCCCTGCTTTTCTAACAGACTCACAGAAATCAGCCATGTGTTGCATAGAAAATGAAGCAGAAATCAGCTTTCTGGATTTCTATATCTGTTATCAAACTAAATATATTTCCTGAGCACTTAGTCTGCTGTACCCATTTGGAAGAGAAGTAGGAATGAGAAAATTATTTGAGAGATTCCTACTTTATTCCAAGGCACAACCCAGACCAGGGCTTTTGATCCAATGTTATTGGCTTTAGAGGTAGAGGATGAGAAAATGTTTCATAAATAATTGCATTACTCATTGCTATACCATGTCACATGCAAACTAGAGGAAAGTTCCCTGCTCACTGAGAAATAACATTTAAATAAAAGTCTAATTTTAACTTTCTTTCTGCCTACATCATGAATGTTACATGAATCTCTAAAAGCCCAGGTTTCATATAAGCACTTAAAAGTCTAGATGTGTTTTTCAGATGTTCTTAGATATTTCAGAATAACCTCTTTTCACATGGTCGGTTTCCAGACTTGTACCCCTTTCCACTCAGGCTTTATTACACTGCACTATTCACCAGATGGAAGTCCTCCTTCTCCCATTAATGAGACCACTACAAATGGCCAAATACAGTTCTTAATATATTACTGTTGAGAATACTTTTCATCTTACCTTTTCTCTAACCATGGATTCTACCTTAGAGCTTCACAATGTGGACCTAGGGTAGTCCAACCTAAGAACAAGAGTTCACTCAATTTATTTTTCCAGCTTTCAAGAGTTACCTTAAAACCAAGTTTTAAGATAACTGCCAGACAAGAAACTGCTCAAGGAAAACCTTGCACCAGTGTTTATGTTGCTAAGGTCTCATAAATATAGCCCTCCAGTAAAAAATACTCTGTCCCAGGCTCAGAGAATCAATAATCACTTGGCTGTAGCAAAACCAAGAGAACTGGGACTTTACCATGGAGACTAAAGGATATGGTATTGACCACTGGCCTGGGGTGACATGGTCATTCTCCTGCTGGTTTAGGAGAATTGGTAGATCAATACTTGTCAGTAACCTCCAGAAATATATTAATGTATATTTTCAGTAACAGGGCGTTTATAGGGTATCACTGAAGACAAAACCTTTACTTTCTCAAAACAACTATGTTTAATGATTATTTTTCTTCCTCTCTGACCTTACTAAGCATTCTTCTTCCTTTATTATTTTCAGGGGGAATTGGATTGGAGAAGCACCATATAAAGTAGGAGTCCCGTGTTCAGCTTGCCCTCCAAGCTATGGAGGTTCTTGTACTGACAATCTTTGTTTCCCAGGAGTAACCTCAAACTACTTATATTGGTTTAAATAAGTTAAGGTTTACATTATTTTGAAAAAAAAAAAAACAAACCCAAACCAAAAAACCCATGGATGAGTAACAAGAAGCTTGTATATTGAATTTTGCACATATTATATAGAGAGAGAGATTGTGATAATACTCTGATGTTTTCTTTTTGTACGCTTTTGTATAATTAGCTTTCAAAGTATAGTATAATTTGGTTTTAACACTTTTGGATATAAGACTCACATTAACCCTTTTATATTAATAATTTGTTAAAGGAGAGCAAAATAATTTTCACCTTTGCAAGTGCAGCTTCCTGAAGATTAGGCTCTATAAAAAGCACATTAAAAGAGTAAAGAATATTACTTCCTTTAAAAGATAATAGCTCCAGAAAGAGAAAGGTCATTGTTTAATACTGTGCTTTCAAAATGGGAGTGTGACGTGCAAAGCAACAAATTGTTCTCACACTCTTATTGGTTCCTCTCATTCACACTGGTGCTTTCACCTGCAATGTCAATGGGACTCTGAGCAGAGGAAAACAAATGTGCAAGAGAAACTGCAGGATTACCTACCTCATGCACAACATCAATTTGTTTATGGCATTTGAAGAGTTCAGCACATGGCTGCTGCTATCATCAGTGATGCTGGTGTGCAGACAGGAAAATTAGAGACAATGAGGAACCACACTAGCCAAGATGCAGTGGCTGTTAACTGACACGCCTAAAGTCTTACCTGGGTAGAAAGCTACATCACTTTAAATATTGGTATAATAGCACAGCCTAATTGTAACTTCCTGTGTTTCTGAACACAGTCATAATGGCATAATGGTGCTTTGCAGCAGTATATTTATTCTTGTACAGGAAAGTGAAAAAATATACTGATACAAAGTAACATACATCAATACATGACATCCATACTGTCTTTTACACTGTAAGTTTGCCCGTGTATGTGTTATCCCACTGACTGAAACTCAGCCAGGTAAACTTTCAAGGAGAGATCAGGTTTAAAATTAGATTATGGGATTTCCAAATGAAGGACATTGGGCAACCTTAAAACTTCATACAGATATTTTTACAAAAATTTTAAATTTCTAAAGCAATTTGCAGTGTCCTTTAATATATATTGCAGTATTTCTTGAAAAGATCTGTGTGAATTAATAAAAACCAAATCTTTTTATTCATACCTTTCCTACTAAAACGTGAACACTTGTGGGTGCTTACTAGAACATTATAAAGAGGACCTACAATTTAAGATAGAATATTATACCAGTAGTTTTCTTGAAAACAGATTATAAAAAGGAGGAGATAAATTATCTGCCACAACTACTATGTCATTGAAATAGCCTTTTTTGGCTTTGTATTACAGGCCAGATTGTATTCCGCTTTAAATGTATGTGTAGTCTGCTCGCACTGCTACATTTAGGCCTCTGAAGTTTATGAACTTTGAAAGGCAATACTGAGTAGAGCAAGCAGAACAACAGAGGATTTCACTAAGTCAACATATATATGTGTCCTTACGTCACTAATTCAGTCTTTTTGAGGCTGTTTGAGATAGTCCGTCACCAAAATATCAAGTATCATATTGGTGATATAAAAGGAAATATCAGAGTTTGAATTCTTCATGTATATTTTTAATCCAGCAAGATAGCTGTGTGTGGGGGGGAATGGGCTCTACAGATTATGAAATGTTGCTGCCGCGCTCCAGCTGTCCATAATCTGGTCCCTCAGAGGATGTCAGCAATTGACCTATGGGTCTTCAGGCATTTCTGGTTAGTGTCACTTCTGTATCTGACAGGACAATACCTAGACAGGTTTACTGTCTTAAGATATGTCCATGTTTAAAGAGAATAACACTTGTCTACTATCTTTCATCCTATCAGTTATAATATAAATGATTTTCCTTTTGGTTTAAAAGATCTGGACTTGTACAGTGCTCAGTCAGTCAAACTTTGGTTGAGTAAAATCCAGTCTTGTTTTACAAGAGAAACACAACATTTTTGCATCATCTATGTACACATTGAGAATTCATTGAGACAAAACTACTAGGTGGATCACTAGCCGTCATCCAGCCCAGTTTTTCAAAAAGATGCATGTGACAAATAAGTTTTTCTTCTGTGTAAGAAATCTTCTGTAGTGGTAAAGACAGCACAGTTAAAACAGCGTATCTAGCTATTTTCAGTATTTTTTTTAATAGAAGATAAGAAGCAGAGCATAAGCAAATGTTCAGGTTAAGCCATGGACCCTACAGCAGTAGGTCTAACAATAAATGACTATGCACTTTGGAACTTGCAACTTGTATGTTGTATGGTACATTTTCCAAACAGGACTAAGACATTGTAAATTAATTTATAATTCTGTAATTCAGCTGAATTTATTATAACGGGTATATATGTTATTTTATCTGTTACTTTTTAAGTTCTTACAAATGCCTTGATTTTGTGGAATATTTCATTTTTCATGGACATAGAAAACTTTGCTTTTAACAAACAGTATGCAGGTTTTTTCACAACATCCCATAATGGTGCTAGGGATTAACCATTGTAATCACACTGTAACTGACAGCGGTAACAAATGACCTGGGTATAAGCTACTTCATACGAGCAGCTCCTGATAAAGCCAGCCGCAAGCACTCAAGCATTAGCTGAATGTTTTTCACTGAACAGAGAGGATTACAGCTCATCATGTATTTGATTACCAGATGAAATTTGCCCTTTGACTGTGTTTGATAAGTAGTTTACTGAAGGCCTTTCTGCATTACCTATTTGAATCAGCCCAATTTCTACCATCCTTTTTCTCTTGGACCAGGTAATGACAATGGCCATAAAGCTCTACTTTGATTGCCAGTGTCAGTGCTGCCTGCCTGATTACCTGACACCAAGTGCTGCTAGAACAAAAGTACTGAAATGCGCAGAAAACTTCAGGTGTCTTTGGCAGCATGTCTGCTCTGATACACTGAGGAAACTACTTGATGAGTT